TCTCCAAGCCTTCTGGCCCTGGAGCATCAGGCTTCCCAGATCCAGCCTGACGAGAACCATGCGTGCGTTGCTGAAGCCGCCCAGAGTAGGCACTGTGAGTGCAGCCCGACCACACTGAGCCAGCACTGCCCAGACTTGCGCACCGAGCCTCCCCTGCAAACTACGTGTGAACTGCCACTCGTGTTCCAGCCGACTGAGGAGCCACGTCCCACACGCCCCCACTGAGCAGCACCTAAACTCCAGCCAGCTAACGGAAGGCCGTTTCACATGGCTCCCACAGGCTTCCAGTCCAGGCTGATTCGGAACAGGCCCTTCCTTCAGGGTCCTTCTTCCTCAGCTCGCATGTCGGGTAACTCTCCTGGGTCTCGTTCTACAACCCCCCTCAGTGTTTCATAGCTTGGAAAGAGGGTTCTAGCTCATCTCCCTTTTTAAACATTTGCCGCTAACTTGGTCTGGGATTCTTTCAATGAGCTGTCACTTTCAAATAAGCTTTTCCACAATACACATTTAAGAAACTAAAGACCCACCTGTCATTTTAATAGTTCTTAAAAAACCCAAATAACTGAATTATGAAAATACCTATTTAAAAGAATTTAAACACTTACCCTATATTTACTTGCACCAAAAACTTTTTGAGTCACATTAGTGATTTCTAATGATGCATCAAAATACAAAAGCAATTCTTTCCCTTCTCTTTTACTAATTTTTACTACGTTTTTCAGAATGACAGTCAGTAGCTTCTTTGATTCTCTCACTGTACACACATCAAAAAAAGCACACTGGTTAGTTCATATCTGATACCACTCTATAGTCACATGACACATTTAAAAAGCATGTTGTGTATTAATTTAACTGAAAAAATTATCTTTTAAGTTTTAGCTATTTAATCAATTCTGGTTCTCGGTCCTATATAAACATATTAAGTCCATTTATCTCCCAGAATCTTTATTTCCTGATCTATAAAATACAGGGTAATCCATTCACCAACAAGTTAAAGTCTCAAACGCATTCGGGACATTGACAGGTTCCTTGTATTCTTAGAGCACATCTGAGAAATCTGTTTTCTTACTTTGAAGAGGCAAATAACTCCACAAATAAGCATATTTCTAGATATGGGCATCTGCCATATCCACAGCTGTCACAAATATACCAGGAAACATTTGGTCAAAGTCCAAGAAGCAAGGGCACAGTCTAGGGGGCCCAGAGAGCTCATGCCCAGGCGCCGCCGCAAGCGGGGCCCTCCTCAGTGCCCGCCAAGCACCTGCCCACCAACGAGCCCCACCTCCCTCCTCCAGGCTGCGCCTGCAGCGGCAGAGCACTCTCCACCTCTGCAGCACCCACAGCGCCCTGAGGGAGACCCCCAGGGCAGACACCTCAGAAGGCATCTTATCAGGAAGGGCTGTCGCTTCAGGCCCGCTGAGCACCTTGCTTTCCCCACTCGG